GGGGAGGGGTGAGGAGTAGGGAAGAGGAGCGGGGGAGGGGAGGAAGGGCGAGGAGGGCGGCGGGCCGCAGGTGAAGGAGGGCAGGCAGTGAGCTGCTTGGCGGGGTCCGGAGTTAGGCTAGAGGATGGTGTGGAGTGGATTAGACATGCTGATGCGCCTGGGTCGTGGACGAGGGCGACCAACAAAAGAGTCGGCAGCCAGGCGGCCAGTCCGAACAGGAACGCCGAGCCCAGATGCGTGCAAGCCGTGCCCCATGCGCGCACCTGCCCCCCGGCTGCGACTGCCTGCCGTTGCCGAGCAGCGCCGCCGACGCGGCCGCGGCCGCGTTCGCGAGCGCCGTGCTACCGCCGCGGCTGCGGGTGCGCGGGGGGGAGGGGGCGGCCTCAAGCAGGGGTGGCGCCTGCTGGTAGGCCGCCGCCCCTGCCGCGCGCGGCTCCTCAGAGCCGGGGGACGTCGCCAGGCGGCTGGGCATGGGGCGGCCCTGGGGGCCGTCCTCCCTGCAGGCGAAGAGGGCGGGCCGCAAAGGGTCGAAACATAGGCTGGGTGTGGAGTACACACGCGCACACACACACACACACACACACACACACACACACACACACACACACACACACACTCACACACTCACACACACGCACGTGCGCCATCACTTGCATGCACACGGCAATTGCACAATCAAATACCATACATGCACATGCTTCCCACACACACTGCCGCCCCCCCCCCCTTGCCCATCCCGCCACTCCCCCCGCACCGGGGCCACAGCACATAAGCCCAGTACGCCAGCAGCGGCAGCGGCGCCACCACCGCCGTCGCGACGCCCGCCGCCGCCTCGCGGCTGCCCAGCCCCAGGCCGTCCGCGATGGCAGCCGCCGCCAGCTTGACTGCGCCGTAGACCACGGGGATAACGAAGAGGCCATAGGCGATGAGCTGGGGCTTGGGAGTCCAGAGGATACTGCGGGGTTGGTGGGGTTGGTGGGGGTGCGGCAAGGCATGAGGGATGGTGGGGGTAAGAGTTCGACGGCATAATGTGGGAACGAACGTGGCTCCAAACGTGCGGTTTGGGGTGCTGCACCGGGAACAGGGTATTGAGGGGGCAGGCAGCACGCCGGCGCCGCGGCGATCAGCCGGCCGCGGCCGCGGCCAAGCGGCCCCTCCGGCCAGTCAAACAGCCCCTGTGCGTGCGCTGGGTGCGGGAGTGCTGGCCCCAACCCCAACGGCGGCTCACAAGGGCAGGTCCCTGGCGCTCATGCAGGTGCGCAGCAGCAGGACCAGCGCGCCCTGCAGCAGCGTGGCCGCCGCGACCGCCGCCGCCAGCAGGCCCGCCGCCAAGCCCAGGTCCCCCGGTGAATACAGCGTCTGCGTCGGGGCGGGGCAGGGCGGGGTGGGGTGGGGCGCTTTATCCATTTATACAACAGAGGGCCGGCACATGAGTGCATGGCGCAGGTTGCCGGGGCTGCAGCGAACGGGCGCCCATCCAGCGGGCCGTGTGCGCGGGCGTTTTAGGGGGTGTGGCTAAGGCTGGGTTGTGCGATGTGTTTGTGGTTTTGTTGCGGCCTTCACAGCTGAAACTGTAGGAGCTTCGGCCGGCACGATGCCGCCCGCCTCCCTGCCTCAGCCCCGTTGCAGGGCGTCAAGCCAGCGAGCCGCGGACCAACTCCACCTGGGCGGCAGCTCGCCGGCCACCCCTCTCCCCAACCCTCACCCGCGGCCGCGCCGCCGCAAACACGGCCGTGGCGCTGTCCGCGGCCCCCGACAGAAACGCGATGGCGGTCGGGTCTGAGACGGAGAGCGTCGAGCTCGCCGCATTCGAGCCCGCCGCGGCACCGCTGTCTTGCGAAAGATGGCGGCGCGCCGCCTCAGGCGTGGCCACTCCCTGCTCATGCGCGGCGTCGCCCGCCTTTTGCACAGGCGCGCCTCCTGGCTGCACCGCAGGGCCGTCCGCGTCGCCGGGCCCGCCCGTCGTCGGCTGCTGCCATGCCTGCTGCAGGCGCCGGCTCGAGGCGCTGGGGATCGTTTCGGCGCTGCTGGCGTTCTCTTTAGAGCCGATGAGGCCCTTCCCCAGGTTGACCCAGCTGTCAATGCGGGGTTGACAGCAAACATGGGGGCAGTTGAAAGCAGGATTAGTGGGTATTAGAAGGCACGCCGGCAGGTGGGCGCCCATGCCAGGGAGGCAGCTCTGGAAGGTGGGTCCTGCTGTGCGGCCAGCTGCCGGCGGCGCAACGGGGCGGGTGGCACGCCTGCAATCCGGCAGCGCGCGCCGCGGCTGCTTTTGGGGGGGGGGCTGCGTGCGTGTCGCCTCACTCGAGACCCTTGCAGAGGCGCACGTACTCCGCGGGTAGGAACGGCACGGCCATGCTCACGCTCATGGCCAGGAACTGGGGGCACGGGGGGCAAGGCGAGGAGAGGGGTGGGAAGTGGAATTGTGGGGGGTGAGAGTGATGGGTGTGACGCATGGGGCCAACGATGATGTCGAAGGTAAAGTGTGACATGTGAACTGTGAGGGCCAAGAGAGGGTGGTTGGTGGTGGGAGCCCTCTGCTCGCAGGCGGCCAACCCAGGCAGAGCCAGGCGGCGACAGGTCGTGGCAGGGCCACGTAAATATCCTGAGGGTAATCCAGGCGGGTTCGGCCCCTCACCTGCGTGTGCCCAATGCTGCGCATGAGGCTGGTCGAGCCGCCGCTGCCAACGGCCACGCCCGCAGCCGTGGACGCCGCCGCGACGGCTGCGGTCCCGGCGGCCACCGTGGAGGATACGGCTTGCGCGGAACGGTACACTTGAGTGCCGGGAACGTTGATCTGACGGAGGGGCCAGATCACCAGATCAGGCTGGATCAGATGGGATCAGATCGGGCTGCAGCAAAGCACAGACGGCTCTGCTTAGGTCAAACGCACGGCCCCCAACCCCCAACCCCCAATAGTCCACACCGTCAAGTTAGCAGCCGTGGCTCCTGTGTTGCCGGCAGCATCCCGGTAGCTGCCCCCAGGCACCCCCACGCGCGCCGCCGCGCCGAGCGGCGCCTCGAACCACAAGGTATAGGCCGTCGACGCCGTCGCCGCGACCGCGGCCTGCCGGCCGGCCGCGTCCCCCTGCGCAAAGTAGAACGTGAGCGGCGCCGCGGCTGCCGCGTCGGCGGTCACGTTCACGAGCCGCGCGTCCGCGAGCTGCAGCGCAGCGTCTGCGGGCGCGGGCGCGGCGCCGCCGGCCTGGGCCGCGAGGGCGGCGGTGAAGGCGACGGGGCTGTCGAACTCGAGGCGGACGCTGAAGGAGGGGTCTGATGCGGTGGGCAGGTCCACGACCGCGGCCCGCGTCACGCTGGGCGGAGAGGTGTCCACCAACACCTGGCGCGGGTTGCGGCCGGGGGGGAGGATTCAGTGGGATCCAGTGAGGGACGCCGCTTGAGCCGGCGGTACAGATGGGCACTACAGAGCTGGGAGCTGGGGGCAGCGGGTGGACGCCACAAGCAACCATTTACCAGGCCCACGCAGGCAGCAGCCCCGTGCTGCACGCGTCACCCATGCACGCACGCTCGCAAATAGCACCTGGAAAGCAGGCACGACTGGCGGCTGCCCTTCCGCGCAGCTGAAGTTTGCAGCATCCGCAGGGAGCAGCTGCACCCCGTACACGCCGTCGCCGCCAGCCAAGGGAAGCGTGAGATTGCACGCCAGCGCGGACGGCGAAGAGCACGACGCTGTCACGCTTCCGTCCCCGCCGCCACCACCGCCGCCGGCCCCGACCAGCTGGGTGACCGCAAAGGTGCAGTTGCCGCCGCCGCCCGAGGCGCCGGGCGGGCAGAACGCGTCGCGCGCGGCGGCGGCCGCGAAGGAGACGAGGAGCTGGACCGACGCGGCGCGCGACGCCGCGGGCGCGGAGATGGTGGGCGCGGCGAGCGGTGCGGCGCAGGTCGTGTTGTTGCTGCCGGTGGTGGTGTTCGGTGATGGGGACGGGGACGGCGACGGGCTCGGTGTGCTGGCGGGTGGCAGGTTTGCGACTGTGAGCGTCACGGTGGCGCTGTGTGTGATGGGGCTGACGCCGTCAGACAGCCTGTAGGTGAACGTCACACTCCCATTGAAGTTTCTGGTGGGGAAACATGTTGGAGGCAAGGCAGGCTGTCCTCAGAAGTGGCGTAGGTTGAAGAGACCCAGGCGCAACCTCATACTAAACTCGACAGCTGCAAATGCCTTGCATGCCCGCCCTCTTCGGGATGAGCTAGAGCCCCTTGCACTCACGCCTGTGGGGTGAATACGAAAGAGCCATCTGCGGCCAGAGAAACACTGCCATGGGCGGGCTGCGACACCAGGGTCGCAGCCAGGCTGCTCCCCACATTGGCGCTGGAATCGTTGGCCAGCACGCCAGCGGTGGCGTTGACAGTGCACGACGCATTGAAGGGGCAGGAGTAGGCATCGCCCACAGCCACAGGGGCGGCCGGCGCGGGCGGGTCTGGTGGGTTGGCAACAGTGAGCGTCACTGTGGCGCTGGGTGTGGTGGGGCTGACGCCATCAGACAGCCGGTAGACAAAGGTTACGCTCCCGTTGAAGGTCCTGGCAGGGTGCGATGAAGGCAGAAATAAGAGTCAAAGACTAGTGTGTCCCATGCTTAAAAATCGCTCTAGGACACCTCGAAAACACATCACCCACAGATCTGATGAGACTTCTAGTGGCAGCCTGAACACATGGGGTCCTGGACACAAGAATGTCCCAGGCTGGCGCTTGCTTCTGCATCCAAGCACTCACGCCTGTGGGGTGAACACAAATGAGCCGTCTCCTGCAAGGGAGACGCTGCCATGCGCGGGCTGCGCCACCAGGGTCGCGGCCAGGCTGCTCCCCACATTGGCGCTGGAATCGTTGGCCAGCACACCAGCGGTGACGTTGACAGTGCACGACGCATTGAAGGGGCAGGAGTAGGCATCGCCCACAGCCACAGGGGCGGCCGGCGCTGGCGGATCTGGTGGGTTGGCGACGGTGATGCTCACGGTGGCGCTGGGTGCGGTGGGGCTGACGCCATCAGACAGCCTGTATGTGAATGTCACACTGCCGTTGAAGCTCCTGGCAGGGTGTAATGAAGGCAGGAATAAAGAGTCAAAGACTAGTGTATTCCAGGCTTGAAAAACGCTTTAGGGCACCAGGAAAACACATCGCGCACAGATCTGATGAGACTTCTAGTGGCAGCCTAAATACATGGGGTTCTGCACACAAGAATGTCCCAGGCTGGCGCTTACTTCTGCAATCAAGCACTCACGCCTGTGGGGTGAACACAAATGAGCCGTCTCCTGCAAGGGAGACGCTGCCGTGGGCGGGCTGCGCCACCAGGGTCGCGGCCAGGCTGCTCCCCACATTGGTGCTGGAATCATTGGCCAGCACACCAGCGGTGGCGTTGACGGTGCACGAAGCATTGAAGGGGCAGGAGTAGGCATCACCCACAGCTATGGGGGCGGCCGGCGCCGCCGGGTCTGGCGGGTTGGCGACAGTGAGCGTCACTGTGGCGCTGGGCGTGGTGGGGCTGACGCCGTCTGCTAGGCTGTATGTGAAAGTAACGCTGCCGTTGAAGGTCCTGGTCGTGTGTGATAGTAAGCAAGAGTCAGAGTTGATTACTATCGTGTCGCAGGCTTGATATGCCGTGTGTGGAGGCATCCCAAGAACACCCTGCTAGCAAATCCCATATAAGCCCAGCGGCGGCCTCAACGCACAGCATGTATGCCCAAGCATGACGCTCCGCTTCTCCACCCAAGCACTCACGCCTGTGGAGTGAATACAAATGAGCCGTCGCCTGCAAGGGAGACGCTGCCGTGGGCGGGCTGCGACACCAGGGTGGCTGCCAGGCTGCTTCCCACATTGGCGCTGGAATCGTTGGCCAGCACGCCAGCGGTGGCGTTGACGACGCACGACGCGTTGAAGGGACAGGAGTAGGCATCACCCACAGCTATGGGGGCGGCTGGGTCTGGCGGGTTGGCGACGGTGATGGTCACGGTGGCGCTGGGCGTGGTGGGGCTGACGCCATCAGACAGCTTGTAGACAAACGTCACGCTCCCGTTGAAGCCCCTGGTGACGAGGAGAGGGCATTCATCAGACTTTGCAACACAGGTCGTTGAGCTGATTTGCTTGCAATTTCTGGGCGCGCCCATTCACATCTGCGCCCCATCCAATAGGATGGCTCGCTTCTGGACTCCGCCAGCTGCACCACGTCTCGGCATCACTCACGCCTGTGGAGTTAACACGAACGAACCATCCGCCCCAAGAGTTACGCTGCCACTGGCAGGCTGAGATACCAGGGTTGCAGTGAGGCTTGCCCCGCCGTTGTTGCTCGCATCGTTGGCCAGTACGCCTGCTGTCGCGTTGACAGTGCATGACGCATTGAAGGGACACGAGTAGGCATCGGCGGCAGCCACCGGGTCGACAGGCACTCCGGGGTCTGCGACTCTGATGGTCACCGTCGCGCTGGGTGTGGTGGGGCTGACGCCGTCGGAGAGCCTGTAGTCAAACGTGACGCTCCCATTGAAACTCCTGAGAAGAGATTTAGCGGGTCAAGTTGCGTTGGCAGTGGAAACGGCCTGAACATGTGCGACCATAATTAATAAAAAGGCTTGCTTGCTTGTTACTGCCGCGGGCCGTGGCCGAGTGCAGGCTCCCCTTCACTACTGCCCGCACCCAAAGGCTGCCGTGCAAGACGCTTCTCGCCATGCCCCTCATGCCAACACACACACACACACACACACACACACACACACACACACACGCACACCCACACACATCCCATGCACTCACGCCTGCGGGGTGAAGACAAATGAGCCGTCGCCCGCCAGGGAGACGCTGCCGTGCGCGGGCTGTGCGACCAGCAATGCGGCCAGGCTGCTGCCAATGTTTGCGCTTGAGTCATTTGCCAGCACACCAGCAGCCGCGCTGACCGTGCACGATGCGTTGTATGGGCAAGAGTAGGCATCAGCCACCGCCACAGGGGTGGCCGGGGGATCTGGGGGATTGGCCACAATCAACGTCACTGTGGCGCTAGGCGTGGTGGGGCTGACGCCATCAGACAGGCTGTAGACAAATGTCATACTCCCGTTGAAGCCCCTGGGAAAGGGGGGGCAGGTTGCAAGAAAACGGCGGGTGTGAGGTGCTGTTGGTGTCCTGGCAACACACTCACATTGGAGGGCCGGGTGTAGCATCACAGCGATCGCACCACTGCAAGTGTCCCATTCCAAGCGCCTGGCCGCGGATCAACCAGACCGTGAATCAACCAGACAATGTGTGTGGTGCCGCCCTGCACAGGCTTTGCTCCTGCCAGCACTCACGCCTCTGGGGTGAACACAAATGAGCCATCTGCAGCCAAAGATACACTGCCATGTGTGGGCTGCGACACCAGGGTGGCTGCAAGGCTGCTGCCCACATTGGTGCTGGAATCATTGGCCAGCACGCCAGCTGTTGCATTCACAGTGCACGATGTGTTGAACGGGCAGGAGTAGGCATCACCCACAGCCACGGGGTCAGCCGGCGCTGGCGGATCTGGTGGGTTGGCGACTGTGATGGTCACGGTGGCGCTGGGTGTGGTGGGGCTGATGCCATCAGACAGCCTGTAGACATATGTCACGCTCCCGTTGAAGCCTCTGGTTACGAGGAGGGGGCACGTGCAGGACCAGAGAGGGCCGCAAGTGATGGCAAGCAGGAACAGGCAAGATTGTGTGCGCTGAACCAGCAACTATCAGCTTGGACGCACTGCAGAGGGTTGCAGCCCGCCCAAGCGCACAGCGCGGAAGCTGCCCTGCAAGAGGGAGTCTGTTGAGCTAGCAGGCCCACAATTCGATATGTGTGAGCACCCTTTGAGCACTCACGCCTGTGGGGTGAACACAAATGAGCCATCTCCTGCAAGGGAAACACTGCCATGGGCGGGCTGCGACACCAGGGTGGCGGCCAGGCTGCTGCCCACGTTGACGCTGGAATCGTTGGACAGCACGCCAGCGGTCGCATTGACGCTGCACGATGCGTTGAAGGGGCAGGAGTAGGCATCGCCGACAGCAACAGGGTCAGCCGGCGCTGCTGGGTCTGGTGGGTTGGCGACGGTGATGGTCACGGTGGCGCTGGGCGTGGTGGGGCTGACGCCGTCAGACAGCCTGTAGGTGAATGTCACACTCCCGTTGAAGGTCCTGTAGAGATTTGAGATGTGGACGAGAGTGCTCAAAGTAAGCTTGGGGCAGTTTTGCAAAGCGGAGTGTCGCTGAGGCGTTGGCCCGCCTGCAGTGCAAGGGTTGTTACCCCACTTGAGTTCCTCGCCGAGCACCAATCACGCAGCGTGTGGCCGTTTGTTCCGCCCAGCCATGACCCCTGTCAGCACTCACGCCTGTGGGGTGAAAACAAAAGATCCATCTGCAGCCAGAGAAACACTGCCATGGGCGGGCTGCGACACCAGGGTGGCGGCCAGGCTGCTGCCCACATTGGTGCTGGAATCGTTGGACAGCACGCCAGCGGTCGCATTGACGCTGCACGATGCGTTGAAGGGGCAGGAGTAGGTGTCGCCCACAGCAACAGGGTCAGCCGGCGCCGCCGGGTCTGGCGGGTTGGCAACGGTGATGGTCACGGTGGCGCTGGGTGTGGTGGGGCTGACGCCATCAGATAGCTGGTAGACAAACGTCACGCTCCCGTTGAAGTTCCTGGTGGGGAGAAGGAGTGCAGCAGGAAGAGATTTGGATGCCCTTTCAAGTGGAACGCACTTGGAGGGCTCTTGCACTTGGGCCGCCTTAGATCCAAATATAATATCCCTGCAAGCAGGCTGCTGTGTACCCTGCAGCCCACCGCCCCTTGACACCACGCACGCTTGGGGGCTGAAGACGAACGATCCATCTGCGGCCAGAGAAACGCTGCCACTGCTGGGCTGCGACACCAGGGTGGCTGCAAGGCTGCTGCCCACATTGACGCTGGAATCATTGGCCAGCACGCCAGCCGCCGCGCTGACAGTGCAAGACGCGTTGTAGGGGCAGGAGTAAGCATCAGCCACAGCAACAGGGGCGGCTGGGTCTGGCGGGTTGGCGACGGTGAGCGTCACTGTGGCGCTGGGCGTGGTGGGGCTGACGCCGTCAGAGAGCCGGTAGACAAACGTCACGCTCCCGTTGAAGCCCCTGGGAGGGAGCACGCGAGCAGAAAGCAGAGCATATCCAGCACGCCGGCCTCAACTGAGCCAAAAGCGGGATACGTGCGACGCAGCCAAGGTGGCAATGGCCCCCCATATCATCAGGGGGCCTGTCCTCACCTCAGGCGCTCCACCCCAACTGCATTGACGGCGTACCCACCAGCAGGTGTGGAATGAGCATCTGCCCCATCGCCCCAACACGCCCAAACCCATCCCGAGCACTCACGCCTGTGGGGTGAACACGAACGAGCCGTCGTTGGCAAGGGAAACGCTGCCACTGCTGGGCTGCGACACCAGGGTGGCTGCTAAGCTGCTGCCCACATTGGCGCTTGAGTCATTTGCCAGCACGCCAGCTGTCGCGTTGGCGGTGCATGGTGCGTTGAAGGGGCAGGGATAGGTATCGCCCACAGCCACGGGAGCGGCCGGGTCTGGTGGGTTCGCGACGGTGATGGTCACCGTGGCGGTGGGCGTGGTGGGGCTGACGCCATCAGACAGCCTGTAGCTGAATGTCACACTCCCGTTGAAGCCCCTGGTTGTGATGGTGTCAGGGGTTTGCCGGGGTGTTGGTGCTGGGTTGGTCATGTTGTAGTTTGTTTAGGGTTGGGTGGAAATGGGCAGGGGGAGCCGCAGGGATATGAGGTGATCATCATTTGACATTGCAAATCAGGATTCAGCGGGTCACTGAAATGACAAATTTGACAAGTAATTGATAGGTCAGGCGCCCTCCCACGAGGGATATGAGGTGATCATCATTTGACAATGCAAATCAGGATTCAGCGGGTCACTGACAAGTTTGACAAGTAATTGACAAGTTTGACAAGTAATTGATAGGTCAGGCGCCCTCCCACGTCCTTGAGGCGCCCCGCAGTGCTTACGCCTGTGGGGTGAAGACGAACGAGCCGCCCGCCGCCAGGGACACGGCGCCGTGCGCCGGCTGGGACACCAACGTTGCGGACAGGCTGCCGCCCGCGTTGGCGCTGGCGTCGTTGGCCAGCACGCCGGCGGTGGCGTTGACGGTGCACGCCGCGTTGAAAGGGCAAAAGTAGGCGTCAGCCGCGGGCTGTGGGCTGGCTGGGGCTATCGTGATGGTCACGTAGCCGGTGGAAAACGTCGCGGGGACGCCTGATGAGATGTTGTAGGACCACTGGGTGGTGCCTGGGTTTGGTTGATTAGGGGATGAGCGAGGATCAGGGTTATCACACAAGCTGAGTGAGACGTTGGCATGTGGACCGCTGTGTTGTGGCAGGCGGCCCGTGCGCGCTCAGGCGCGCTCAGGCGTCCGGCTGCGTTACATGACAAAGCCAACCCGCTCTCTGCTGGCTTGACGCAGCGCACGCAGCTGCAGTGGCAATCGCCCCACCCACCCGACCAGCCAGCCGTTGGTGTGAAGGTGAAGTTGCCGTTGGACGAGACGGTCACGGTGCCGGCGCCGGCGGTCGGCGCTGACACCAGTCCGACCACCGCAGTGCCCACCGCCGGCTGGTCGTTTGCCAGCAGCGACGCGCCCGCGCCCGGGCTGAACGCCGCGTTGAACGTGGCGGTGTAGCTGTCGTTGGCCGCGACGGCCGGTGGGTCTGGGGGGTTGGCGACTCTGATCGTCACTGTGGCGCTGGGCGTGGTGGGGCTGACGCCGTCGGAGAGCCTGTATGTGAACGTCACGCTGCCATTGAAGCTCCTGAGGGCGAGCGTGAGGTATCAAAAACGAAATGAGCGTGGTGATGGACAGTGGGTGCAGGCAGTTGCCACCACCCGCCCCGACCGCACTCCCCTCTCAGTTCCTTGACCCCTCAACCCCTGCCACTCTCACTGTTGTGGTGTGTAGACAAACGAGCCGTTTGCAGCCAGCGCAACGCTGCCGCTGGACGGCTGCGCTGCGAGGCTGGCGGCCAAAGCGGCGCCCGCGTTGGCGCTGGCATCGTTGGCGAGCACGCCAGCAGCCGCGCCGACGGAGCAGGACGCGTTGAACGGGCAGGAGTAGGCATCCCCTGTGGCTACTGGGGTTGCTGGCGCGACTGTGATGCTCACGTAGCCTGCGGAGAAGCTGGTGCTATCGGATGTCATGTTGTATGACCAAACCGTGGTCCCTGAGCAAGAGGATGTGCAGGGCGTTAATACAGCGCTTCGTAGTGAGTGGTTGCAACGGGCACGTGCGGAGGACCCGCGACGCTCCCTTGCAAGGGTCTCGCAGTACGCCCATTTCTAGGCAGTGTGCTAGGGAGGCTGTTCCCCGCCCGGCCGTACAACTTCCATCAAGCCAGCTCAGCCCTCCAATTATGTGCGCACGTCCAGCATGCGCCCACAACCACCTTGCCGCCTCTCAGCCCACCTGACCAGCCATTCGTAGGGATAAATGTGAAGTTGCCGGTCGAATCCACTGTCACGCTCCCGGCGCCGCCGGTCGGGCTTGTCAACCGCCCTACGACGAATGTGCTGGCGCCACTGGGCAGGTCATTCGCAAGCACGAGGGCGCCGGCGCCCGGGCTGTATGGGGAGTTGAAATTGCCGGTGTATGTGTCGTTTACGGCTGTCACAACCACCCCGGTCGAGCTGCCGCTGCCGGTGCCGCCGCTCCCGCTGCTGGTCGGCTGGGGTGCGCCCACGGTGATGACAAGATTGTCCTTTGGCTTGGCTCGGATAAACCAGTCTGGCCATGACCTGCGGACCCATGCGTTCGTGTTGTCTGCGGGAGTGTGTGGAGAGGGATGCTCCGCGTATGTAAGAGTGCGTGAGTTTCTTTGTGCGTGGGTGAAATTTTTGAGAGAAACGGGGAGAGCGCATGCACGCGCGTTTGCGTGCGCATGCACGTTTGCATGGGCGTGGGCGTGCGCATGTGCACGTGTGTGCGCACGCGCGCATGTGTTGGGAGCATCCCTGAAGCGGTGTGTGGTGTGTTCATGCAAACATATGTTGCACGCGTGATGGAACTCCTTGTCGCAAATCACCTGCGAACGGCGAGTCAAAGACCGACGCGCCGGAGATCTGCTTTACTTGGCTGAAGTCCACGGTGATGCCCGCAGGCAGCCGGACATACCGCAGGTTTGGGAAGGAGAAGAGGGCCTCCAAGGGCGAGGGGTCTGTGTTGGTCAACGCGTGCCCTGCAAGGTTGCTGTGGATGCGCAAGAGCGAGGTTGCGGGCCCGGCAAGGGTTTAAGGCGTAAGGGCGTTTGATTGGCGGCGCCCCAGGGGCGGGGTATGTGTTTGGTTGCGGGGTTTGAGGTAGGGGCGCTCGCGGCAGGGCGCAGACAACACTTTTGGATTGCACTTGGCCCAGGGAAACAGAGGCGGATCCCACTTGAGTTGAGCATGTCTGGAATCATCAGCGGCGGGGCCCCTGCGCAATTCCTCGCCTCCACCGCGCGTGTGTGACCGAGGCGGTCTCACATGCTCATAAGCGTGTTTTTCCATGCCGGGTCTGGCGCCGGCTTTGTCGGTGTCCCAGTGGCGTAGATGTCGTAGGAGCAGTTCGAAAAAATGTAGTTCATCAGGCGGGAGGTGTGTGTGTAGCCGTAATCATCGGTGTATGAGTCGGCCATCCTGTCGTAGCTTGTTGAGTAGGGGTACACCATGTCGTATGCATCGAAATCAGGGTTCCAAGCCCCCTGATGGTCGAGGCATCCGTGGTCTACGGCGCCGCAGAAGTTGGTCCAGATCTTCTCATCATAGCCGTCAGTCCAGGCAGCGGGGTCGGTGTACCTGCGTAAACACGCAGGGTCCCGGGGGGGGGGGGGCGCACAGGCGCGTGCCGGGTCAAGAAAGCGATGTGACGCCCAGGCTGGTGTCTGCTGGAGCACACCCCCGCAGCAGGCAGCACACCGCTGCAGCGCAGCGCTGCAGGGCAGCCGCAGCTGCCGGCGCGCAGCAGGACAGGGCAAAGACCCTCTCCTCGCAGAGCTTTGCCCACGGCGGGGTCGGAGTACCTGTTAGGCGGTTCCTTCCGGTATTTGCTGTCATCGATGGTCTCTATTTGGTTGTAATACTTGGGCACGCACGCGGCGTTCAGGTTCTGCCCAAAGGGCTCGCTGTAGACCGTGCGCTCGTCCCCGCCGGCCTGGTTCGCCCCCGTCCACTCGATCGGGATGAACCCCGTCAGCCTGTAGACATAGCCGTCGCCCGTCGGGTCGTCCCAGTCTGACCTGGCGCACCAGCAGCCGCGCGTGTCGGTGGCGTTGGCGGAATCGCACTCAGGCCGGTACATCTGCAGCCAGCCGAGCTGCGAGTACTTCTTGCCGGGGTTCACGTCGTCCTCGGACAGTCCCGCGCTGCAGTGCGCCAGCCTGCATGGGGCCAGGCGCGCGCGTGTTGGATGTTGCGCCTAGTGAACAGGTCCGTCCGCAATGCGCAGGCACCTCTCTCTGCAGCCCCATGACTCTGCGTGCTTTGTGTGTCTCGGCCGGCCACGCGACGTGCGGTTCGGCGCCGCTGAGGCTCACCCAAGGTGGCGCAGGTTGGGGAAGATGTCGGGGAGGTTGCGCAGGGCCGAGTAGGGCCCGTTGAGCTCGCCACCAATCATGTTGTAGTTCAGATTCCTGCCAGGAGGGTGGGCAGCATGCAGAGCCCCAGCTGATTGCTAAACGGACTGCTGGTGACCGCCTCGACAGCCTCGCTTCCTGCAGGCCGGCCTCGGGGAGCTGCGCGATGTGCAACCCGGCCCACAAGGGATGGATGCGAACGGAGGAGCGACAGACTCATCGCGCTGCAAAGCGCAACCTGCGAAGGCGCACGTCTGAACACGCAACCCCGGAAACCCAGCCGGGGGTTCCGCGGCATGGCAGCCGCGCCTAGGGGCCGATGTGCGGCTTTCTGGACTCACAAGTACCAGACTTTGGACCCGTAGGTGTCACTGGTGCCGGGGATGAGGCGCTGAAAGGCACTGAAGTTCATGCGGTCCGCCTGGGCGTAGAGGCTCATGTTCTTCCAGTCGCTGCATGGGGTTTGGGATGTCAGGCAGATGGGCGTGTACGCAGGATTGCAGGCAGGCATGGCATGGGTGCGAGGAAGAGCACATGGCAGGTACCGCCTTGCCTTCGAAGCTGCCAATTGCTAGGCTTTCCTTGAGGAAAAGCCACCACTTGTGAGTCTGCAAGGTTGAGCACAAACGCACCCCTCCTCCCGCAACATTAAGGCAGGCCACAGCCACCCAGGCTGCACTGAACGTATGACAGGTATTTCAAATTGTATCGACCAATGCAGGTGACATCTCACATGCCACGAATGATGTTGTTGTCGCCGTTCGGTTGGCAGGACGGATCGCACTCAACAAACGGCCAGCTGCAGGGGTTGAACTGGTCCGAGGCGACAGCTTCCCAGAGCGTCGTGGCGGCTGTGCATGGGTTGGGAAGATGGCACTCCCTCAGCTTTTGGTTGCTGCATGTGTTCCATGGCTCTAATTTGTAAACACATTACGCAATGCGCGCTCTGCATGCATGCGTGCATGCCCACGCAACCTGTGCACGCACGGCCAACGCTATGCTAACCCGCACGCCCCAAACTCTATCTACACGCCCATGCGCGGCCCATGCAGCCAGCATGCAAGCCGTGCGAACGTCTGCCACACCACACCAGCGTGGCTTCGGCCGCACAAGACCCACCATCACGCGGCAGCTGCCAGTCGCCGTTGGCCTTGTTGGCCAATTTCGCGGGCGCGGACCTGCTGAGCCACCGCTGACCCGACCAGTCGCGCGCATCGCATGTCAGGTCCCACCGCGACCAGGTGTCCTTCCAGGCGGGGCGCGTGCTGGCGTCCGCATTCCAGCCCGGGTAGGGGCAGGCGCCGACCTCGGTGAAGCGCCTCCTGCGCGTTGCGCAGCGGCAGTGCTGGGAGCAGCTACGCGGGAGAGACTGACGCGGCCAGCAAGCCAATCATCCACGTGTTGCTCAGGCACCTTGCCAGGTAAAATATTGCTGTTCAATTTAGCATCGGCAATGGTGCATGGTAATGCATTCTTCGTTAGATCGCTGGCTATTACTGAATTACCTGTGTTCGTGCACGAATGGCCACCGCTCGTGACCAAAGTTACGCCTCCAGAACTCTTGCATGACCTGGAATGTCGTATTGGCTGCGAAACCGGGAGGGGCCCGCCCGGGTTGCGCTTCAGCCACGGTGCAGTACAGTGCCCGGGGCGGTGACGCTCACCCCAGCCACCCTTGCATGCAGCCAAGCCCCCGCCACTGTTGCCTCTCCCTGCACCCACCTGTGGGACCTGCCGTCTGCGTCCCCTGGAACGCTGGCTGGAGGCGGTAAAACTGGGCCGGGGCTACCGGCTGCCCTGACACATTTGTGCCCAGAGCAAAGTCGCGCTCAGACTCCCAGTACGCAGCCCACAGGTCCTCGGGCAACCCGGTAGCTGCCGTGCGGCTGCCATAAAACGCCTTGCCCGGCGCAGTGCTGTTGCCAAACCAGGCCTTGTTGGCCTGGGGGTGAGGCGTGGGAGTGTGGGATTGTCACAGGAGGTGCATGTGGCCACACTCCAAACAGATGTGCGCAGCGTCGATGGTTTACGACACGCCGCATGAGCAGAGGCGGTCGCCAAGCCTGGCGCGTGCGCGTTTCCCCACTCGCACCTGAGAGTGGCAGGGGCAGAAGCCGCCCGACAGCGAGGCGTTGCGCCACCACGCCTCCTCAAACCCTAGGTACTGGATGCAGGGGACCGCGCAGCGCCCGCCCAGCCCGCGTGATGCGTAGTTACCCGGCGCCCAGTAGCACAGGCCCATCGGCAGCGCCGCGCGGCCGGCCGTCGTGTTGGTGTAGGGGCTGGAGCCCCCGCTGGAGAACCCGCCGAGCGCGACAACCTCCGCCCCCTGCGCCGCATTGCTGGACGGCGCAGCCGCGCCGCCGCCCGCCGCCGTGCACGCGATCCAAAGCTTGGAGTTCGCTTCAGCGTAAGACGCCGGGTTGAAGTCCTCGGCAAACGGGACTGATGACGCCGGGCTGGTCCTGGTGCCTGCGACAGTGACCGGCCGGGCCAAAGACGTCTTAGGCGGCAGCTGGTCGGCAGCCGCAGCGCTGGCCATGGATCATTATTTGTTTTTGTGTTGAATGCCCTGAAAGATGCGCACCTGAGAAGGTCAGCAGGCATGTCGCTCCTGAGGTGCAGCTGTAGCTCCCAGAGTTAAGCACCGTCAGCGTGACGCCAGTCGAGGGGCCGTTTGTCGCTGCTGCCACGTAGGCGCCACCCGTGCACGTCCAGCTGTGGTGGTGGGCGGTGCAGATCCGCGCAGACGCAGCAAGCAGCCTCGCGCTCGGCGGTGTGATGGTGCTTGCAATCCCTCCGACGCCATTTTTGGCCGAGAATCTGCTGAGCATGCACCTTGCTGTCAAGCTTTGCGAGCTAGCGTCTACATATACTCGGGCTGTTTGCACCCACACGATGCAAAGAGGCGCAGCCCGCGCTCACCTGTAAGAGCCGTACCGCGCCAGGTCGCCAACGCGCGCGCTGCAGCCGCCCAGCTGCGCGCCTGTGCTGCTGTCCACGTCCGACGTGATAACCCAGGTGGAGGGTGTGGCCCTGCCGGCGGTGGCGCTCTGCCGATTGTACAAATGCATCGAGGGGAACAGCATGAACGGGTGGGCTGGGCGGGAGGCTGGGCGCGGCCGACAACATTCGGCAGTAGCGGTGTGTCCAGCGTTTGCGTGCGTGCGGCGTCCAGGCGGCCTGGCTAGGTGTGTATCATGCTGTACGGGGATATGTGTCACGCTATATGGGGATATCAACTCGCTGACAATGCCCCTACCGCGGTGATGAAACCAACCTGGGCAAACTTTAGCGAGCAGGCTGCCTGGGCTGTCCTGCGCGCCTGGCCGGCGCCGGCTTGGGTGAGATTCGCTGTGCGCAAGGACAGCGGCCAGGAGGGGGGATGCGGTTGACCCGTCATGCCTGAAAGTGGCTGGGTCCGCACTGGGCTCGCAAACAGTGCCCATCGCCACGTGAGCTCCCCACCGCCCACCGCCCGCAAGCCCCCGCGTAATCTAGAGAGCTTCCGCCCAACCCTGACGCCGTGCACTCACGTGTGCGGCTGTTCCACCACTGCAGCTGCGGCCCCACGCCCGGCGCGGCCCAGTGCACGTTCTCCCGCCAGCTGGTCGTGTTGTCGGGCTGCCACACGTCGTAGCCGCTCCCAAACAAGTCATTCCACAGGGGGTCTGAGTCGTATGAACCCTGCATGTTCCAAATCCATGAAGCCGGCTGGCCCCGCGCCACTGGTACAACCAGGGCGGCAGCCACGAGCGCAGTCAGCAGGACAACCAGGGTGACGCGCTGTGGCAGGACTTGGGCCGGGCGGCGCGGGCTGCCTGCCATCAGTGATGGCGGCGCCGCGGCGAGTGGCGACGGACGGGGGCCGGGGGCCCCCGCCGTCCTGCTTGCCAGCATGTGCGCTGCCTCCGCAATCGCGGGTAGATGCAGAGTCTCGATGTCTGCGTGAGGGGTGTATGGAGCTGCAAAGCTCTTGCGTGGTGTTTGGTGTGTTGAGGCGTGGTGTTGTGTCCGACAAGTGGCAAAACTGGTCAAAGCAGCAGGCACGCTCAATCAGTGTTGCTCGCGGAAGTGTTGCATGCTGTGAAACATGGGGTACAATCAATCAAATTCTAAAACATCATGCATGATGTGTGCTGCAAGTGGTGCTTTGCTCTCACCAACAAGTGCCTGTGCAACAAGATCACCAGCTGCCCATGGTGCAGGCTGCAGGCATCAGGGCCTTGAGAGTGAGTTGTTTGATCATTTCATAAAGCAATAACGCCCAGCAAGCCCTCATCTAGGCCGCGAGCACCTGCGACTTTTCAGCTCGCCTGAGACCCGGAATGCCTCTGGGGACGATCCCGACCAGGTGAACGTCCTTGAGTTCAACTTGTAATTTGTTATACGGTACGGTGATGTGAAGGTACTACCGTAGACGCAGCGCTTTTACCAGAATGCCTGGCACGTGTCGTTGTGACGGTGGGGGCGCTCCAATGTTGAGGGTCGATAGAGTTGACCCTGAGCAGGCGAGACCCAGCTTTGACGCCCCTTACCCATGTGCCTAAGACCTGCACGCCGGGGCGTAGAGGCAAAACGCTTTGGCGTGAAGCAGCAGGCTAACTCGGTCGGCTGCTCGCCCTACCCTGCCCGCCCGGGGCGTTTCTTCAGCCATCCATAACCTGGTTGATGCACCTCGTTCAGGGGTCAAAGATGCCAATGAGGTTTTCAAGACTTAAATGCACGCACTGCTCATGCATGAAGTGGCTGGTGTGAGCGCCCCTGGCGCGCGTGCGCGGGTGGCTGTGGTTGGGCCCGTCCGAGTGCGCGTAAAAACTGGCGCGAAACGGGCAGCAGTGTTGCAGCTGCCCAGGGGGTGGGGAGGCGGCGTACACGGCGGCTCGCCTGCCTCCGCACCCCTCCATGCGCTAGGAAGTGGAGAGGAGTCAAGGCACTGGAGCGGCAGCAAATAGAGAGGCGTCAAAAATAATAATCTCGCCGAACAGGCAAAACACAAGCGAGCACACGACGCGACCGCAGAGGCAGGCGGGCCGGCACCTTGCAGGCTTTGCAGACGGCCAGCAGCCTGGCAGCCCCCCCGCCGCGGCAGCACGCGCCACGCGCTGGGGGCCGCGGCAGCCTCGGCTGCTCGAAAGCGCCGCGAGCCTCGCCTCCCTCTTGTCGCGATCAGCTGATGTATTTGTCTGCCTGCGCTGCCAGCAGCCGCGCGCTGCTCTTCGCGTCGTGGAACAGCCCGTCGATCTCATCGAGGTCACCCCTGCAGGTGGGGCGGTCAGGATTGAGGGTTTAGGGTTCAGGACCACCGGGGGGGGGGCAAGGGGCGTTCAGCTGTCATGCAATTTTTGGGCGATGGCACTCTCCCCACTTTCCCATCCACGGCCCGGCCCCAGGTAGAGGCGTCAACGCTCCCGCCCGGTGGTGAGGTCGGCCCGAGCGCAGTGTGGGGGGACGGGGGTGGGGTGCGCCCACCTTGTGATGGCGTCGCGCCCGTTGGTCTGCGCCATGAGCGACGCGGGCGTGAGCAGCTGCACCGCGTGGCGCAGGGAGGTGCGCTCGCCGATGGAGCCCAGCTGCGCCAGGGACTCCTCGTCGACGGTGATGCCCTCCACCTGGGGCGCGTGTGATCACGGCGTGTGATTGTGTGTTTTTGTGCTGGTGTGTGTGCGCTTGTGTTTTTCCGTGTGGCTGTAAGATTAAGTGTGTTTTGTATTTGTTTGTGTGTAAGTGTGTGTGTGTGTGGGGGGGGGGGTGCGGGTGTGTCTGTTCGCGCGCGCGCGTGCAAGTTACCATGCGCGCTCCTGTGCGTCACTGTGAAAAGGAGGACACTTGAAAGATTGGATGCCCACGTGGGCAGGCCGACGCGAACACACGATGGGGGCACGTCATGCCATCATCAACCCACCCACCCACGCGCACACGCACGGCTGCTCGCCGGGTCATCATCCAGCACACGCACCGCGCACGCACGCGCACGCGCACACGCACGCTTGCGCACGCACACACATCAACGGCCTCCCACCTGCGCGCGTATGGCGAGGATCTGCACCATCTCCTGGGGCGTGTAGGGCAGTGTGCGGATGATGACGAGGCGGTCCAGCAGGTCCACGGGGATGCCGTGGGGGGAGCGGATGTCGGTGCCGCGGATCTCACAGATGCCCCTTTGTGTTTGTTTTGAGGGGGGGTGGTGGACGGCCAGGGGCAGGCAGGTGTTTGGAAAGGGCAACGGTTTTGTATGTGTCAAGGCGGGGCAGGTGTGCAAGCGGTATGGTTGGATGTGTGTGGGGGTGTGGCTGGACGCGCGAATGTCAGTGTGTGGATGACCCACAGCTCGGCCAGAGTGGAGTGGCAAGCCTGTGGAGCCCAAGAGGGCTGGGGCTGGGGGCTGCGGCAGCGTGCGGGTGGTGCAGGCCAGGGCACGAGGGGCCGCCGCG